AGATGCATGCCACATAGGTACTTAAGTTGGCTTGGAATAACTGGGATTCTCTTACTAAAATTGTCGAAACTAATGGCAAATTATTGATTTTAATTATATAAAATTGTTGCATTATATGTAACGAACAGAAGATTTACGTTTGGGTAACAAATTAAGAGTGGCCGACATGGATTGGAGAAAGACATAAAGGTTTGTACACTTAAACGATTTTAGAAGTTTAATTGTTTAGTTCACTGTAAAATTCCCCATTTTAATACAATAAAAAATAAACTATTTAAATACCTATATAATTTTATTTAAGTCAATTTAGACCTACAAATATTAAGTAACAGTACTGTTAATTGTATAAGGACATTTGACAAACTGTTCGATTTACTAAATTCTCGAAATCCCTTTAGATTTCATCGGAAAATGTGTTTGTCTCAAAAAACGGAGACTTTATGGAGGTCTAAAATAAAAGCTACAATAGGTAATATAAAGAAACTTAAAACCTTAGACAGTAGTTATGTTATTCAGACATCGAAGAAGAATACTGATTTTCTAGACTTAATTTTATCAAGTTTGTGAAAGGTTTATATGGACCGATTCCAACGTTGTGTTAAACGAAGTTTAAAATGACATTTTTACATTAACAATGCCATTTTTATCTGCGTTTAATACAACGGTGGTATCAGCCCTATGAGAAATAAGTAAATTGTCTATTAATAAATATTTAAACAGAACTCAACTGAATCGGACTTGGCTGAGTCCAGGGGCTGGTAACTCAAATGGAAAAACATGAGGTTGGTAATTTAGTACCACTCCAATTAACGGGATGGCGCTCGTATCGAAATGTCATGTCAGTTGTCAGCTCGTCAAAACTTCAAACTTGGAGAAATTAAAATGGCTATTGTATTTGAAGGTGTACAAAGGTGAATTGAATTTTGATTTATCTAGAATCTAGATTTATTCTTCGACACTTTCCAATTTTAAGCATGTTTTCAAACGATCGGAAGATGGATGTCAGCAACAAACAATAAAGCACTCCCAGATATTGGTAGTGATGCAATTTATACCACATTAAATATGCAGTCGTCATATTAAGGATAACCAAATAATTTATAATTTGTAATAAGTGTCTTAAAGAAAAATGCACCATCACTGTTTGATACTAACGGTAAGTAATATTTACAAACTTGTTTTTGATTCAGTGTTAAAATAATTGGTTTGTTATTTAAATTTCTTTTTGTTTTCAGTTTTTAAATGATCATTGTTGTAAAGAAAATGTTGGCCCTGCAAAATACCCTGTCAATCGATGAAATATTTGAGCTTCAGCCATCAATATCAAAAATTGATTTAATGCAATTGACATCAACCAAGAAAACACCATAAAATCTTCAAGGGTCCAAATGTGTGTAAGTTTAATTTATGCTCAAAAGTTAAATTCATTTATCACAGTGCCCACATGATAAATAAAAATTTGATAACTACAAGTGCTGTATAAATGAATCAAGAAAACAATTATCCGATGAAGAAATGCTCCTCAACCTAACTAGTCGACTCAATAACCATATGGCAAATTTTATCCACACTCAAATTTTCCTCGATAGTAAAAAAGGATGATGCTTCAACTTCAATTTTTTTAAACTTATTTGCCACTCCAAGTTGCAAAACTTTTATAAAAGTCTTGAGTACTTATTTATGCTGATTTTGTTACAGAAAACATTTTTGATAGGTTTGTTTTATAAATATTTAATTATTTAAATGGTGTAAATGCATATTTGTTTGACTATGTCCATGTTTAAATAGACAAATTATATGATGCGGCGTTAATTTAGGTACTGTAATAGAAAAAATAAAATAAATTGCATTTTATTTCAAGTTTGAAATTAATGCAAAAATATAATGAAGTAAAATCAAATAAAGATATAAATTGGCAAAATATTTGACTAATTTCAAATCACAAAACTGTTAATATGGTTGTTTTATGATTTGAAACTAGTCAAATATTTTTCCAATTTTTTGCTTTATTTGATTTTCTTCATTACATTTTTGCGCTACTACAAAGTTAAATTTCAAAACAGCCCGCTCTGGCGGCCATATTGAATTTTAGTACCACTCCAATTTGATAGATGGCAGCACATCGACTCAGAATTTTACCATTGAGTTTCCCATCTATTCACATTAGTAATCTATGGCGAGTCCTTGAACGAAAATCGGAGTTCGGTTATATCGCGTGAATTTAGAGATGGGTATAGAAAAAAATCCGTAAATGTACGTAACAGTTACAGATTTGCTAATATCCATCACTAAATTCCAGTGTAACACCGGAACCACCTGGAACTTTAGAGACGTTGTAACCGAATTTCGACTTTAGTTTAAGGACGACTTATCCAAGTCCGACTCAGCTGAGTTCTGTTTATAAATACGGACCTTAGAGCTATGGCTATTGTATTCTTCAGGATCCAATCAACATTTTACAAACGACACTAAAAAGTACAATAACAGTACCTATAGTTATTATTACTTTCTTACTAATGCTGCGTTTGAGAATCCACATCGGATGCATTTTTTACATCTCGAGCGTTTTTTTATCCACATCTGTCCCATTACATTTACGTACACTGAATCACGTGATCAAAGATTTACTACATCTCAGATGCATCCGATGTGGATTCTCAAACGCGGCATACATATAACCAAGAGAAACTTCAGAAGATTCAAAATTCTTGTATAAGATTTGCTTGTAATATTCCTCATAGAAATCATGTTTCTCCATACATTCGCAGGTTAAATGAATATAAAATTCAGGAAAGGGTAAAATATTTATTTTTAATTTTTTTGGTTAAAATTTTAATGTTTAAAATTCCATAATATTTACATTACTATCTTACTAAGGACCGATTCCACCGTTGTGTTAAACGGAGATTAAAATGACATTTTTAATGTAAAAATGTCAATTTAAACTTCGTTTAACACAATGGTGGAATCGGTCCTAAGAAAACCAACTTTACAAAATGTAAATTTAGAGTCAACATTTTTACAACCCCAATGCATAGCACTTCAAAATTCCATTATTTTTGAATTCAGAACTTAATAATTAAAATTTGAATTTTAATAATTTTGTGAAGACTATTAGGCAAATTTTAAATTAAATAATTGTCTTGAAATAGGTTTCTAGACACGGATTTAATTTAAAATCTTAAATAAATATTTTGAGAACATTTTTTTGTGTTATAATGAGGATGAATTGAAAAACGGCTTAGCAGAATTTATTCCTTTTAAGACACTAATGTATTTATAGTTGCTCAATAAACATTATTTATTTATTTAAATATAGTGCTGTTCACATTGTAAAAAGATATACAGTATGTTAAGTCGACGCATCAGGCAAAATAAAGATGAGACGCTTAATTGTATTTGAAAGTGAGAGCGATAAAGATAGTATTTGATTTGACCACACCCTTTCGATGGCAAGCATAAGCATGGATTATTGCGGTCCACATTCATTCGTATTATTATATTTCTCTCTAGTCCATAGCATTGTGTTCTATACCGTTTTCTTGGAGTCAGGATGGAATAGTTAAATTATTTTATGTTAGAAAATAATTATACAGACAATCTAATTAAGTTGTAAGAAATTTCATAAAATATTGTTTATGTTGCAAAAAAGTTGATAAAATGTTCCACTGGCCAGGATTCACTATCTAGCGCAACAGCTAATGAAAATTATTAAAAATTATTTTTTAGGAAAAAATGGGGTAATTTAACAGTTTCGGCTGTAAGTACTAGTACAAAACAGTCGAATTATCTTAAAAAAAATAATCAATTACCTGCTAAAAAAATGTTCATTCTCAATTAGTTTGAAATAAAAATTTGTTTCGAGAAATCAATAATCATAATTATGAGTATCTAACTTTGAAGGAAAATCACATATCAAGATTAATAAAAATCCTTAACAAATATGATATTGTTCAAACACCAATGAAAATTTAAAAAACTAAATTTGTATTTTTTGTTCCTTACTAACTTTTATTAAATAGCTTTTTTTTATTTATAATTTATTAGTGCCGTTTTCTAATGTAATATAAATGTTTAAGTTTAATAACAGGATGTTAATATATATTTACTGTAGTATTATAATTACATAAGATAAAAAACTAAAACATTCGCACTTGGCAAAATTGAAGCTTTTTTTACTACTTATTCTCTTACAACCTCCGTCCATGTAAGCGGGTGAATTTACTGCCTTTGCAGATTCCTTAGTGACCGAAATCGAGAATGTCTATTCCTTGCTGATAAGTCCTAATAAGGATAAAACCGATCCAAGAATAACGTTCTCTTTGGTAAGCAAGATCAAATTTTAAATGTTCAAATATTAATTTTTTATCTTTGTTGTTTTTCTTTGGATATAACTAACTCAATGTCTGTTACGGAATTAGCAAAAGGGGTAGTTGTTTTCCGAAGGGAAACAGTCGCTTCTTTAATTGTTTGTTTGGATTTATTTGCCTTTTTTAAATAAAATATTTGACTAGATATTTCTAATAATAGTTTTAAATTTAATAACGAATATGCCCATTATCTCTAAATTATTTTGATTGATGTTTTGTAGTTTCTATATGAAATAAAATACTTTCAAGATCTGAGCAATCAATGTTGCCATGTAATAATTTACATACAAAATATATATTTTTTAATAGGAAAGTTCTGTTTAAATCACGTGATTACAGATTTATTTGCTATAAAATATATTACGGTCTTGGATTATATCCGTTTCATATGAAATGATATTTAATATATATTTTGTTTTTATTTAATTTTAAATAAAGTTTCAAAAATGACTATGATGTTTTTTATTTTTAGAAATCTCTTAAGTTCACAAAAAAGAAAAATAAAGTTCTTTTACGAATTTTATGCTTAATATTTGCAAATTATGTTTAAATGTGTTAGTCCTATCCTGTACACTTCAATAGGCAATCACTGCGCAAGCGCATGGGACGCTTTTGTTTTAGAATGGCGGCCTGCTGATGAAAAATAAATTTCCTATCTGCTCTATCCATATCTGTGGCCTGCACAACAACTTAACCTCAAATAATTTATGTTTTCTAATAAAACAAAATAAATTAATGAAGAAAACGATATTGTATCAATAATGAGTAGTGTTTTAGAAGAAAAACTACGTGAGGCCTCTTCAATTGGAGATACAGAAGCAGTTTCACAGTTGCTAGCGCAAAATGTAGATATAAATTCCCAAAATACAATTAATGGATGGTAAGGGTTTTTGTTTTTGAATTGTGTTAAATAATCCTAACTGATTTAAAAATATATAGGACAGCACTACATTGGGCTTACAAACGTGGAAATGATAACATTATAAAACTTCTCATGGACCATGGTGCGAATCCTGAAATTAAAAACTTCAAAGGACAGATGGCAAAGGAGGTAGTCTACCATTTAAATTCAGATGGACAAGACGATCAGACAGCACTTGGTATTAAGTATATCCCAAATTACTTAAGAAACCCACCTCTTAGTATCGATTTGGAATTGGGAAATAGAGTTAAAAGTAAATCTTCAGATTTTGCAAATATGCCCATAACTCCGTTACCTGCAACTCAAAATGATGGTAAACGTTTCTTGTTTATATTAATATTTATTTTTAGATGTTAATAATTGGCTGTTTTATAAAACTAATATATTTTTTTATTAAATTTATAGATTTGGTGCTTAGAGTAAGAATGCACGGTTCCAATGATCCTGACTTTATTGAAATTGAAATACCTAGATGGAGACTTACCTATAATCATTTATTAACCACTTGTTGTAATGAACTGGAAATTCTTGAAAGTCAAGTGGAGAGGATAAGAAAACTTCCAAATACCAGATTAAGAAAAGATAGTGATGTTAAAAGATTAAGAGACTACCATTCGTTGGAAATTGTTTTAAAAGCCCCCTTAAATAGTGATAAGTCTGCTAATTCATATCAAAGTATTTCTACCAAAAATCAAACTATTTTATATTAGTTTTGATTTTGATTCAATCTAGGATTTGGATGAATAATTATTTATCTCATTCTATTAAGAATTTGGAAGGGGAACAAAATGTATAACTACACTGTATATAAAATACAATATCTCAACATAGTTACATGCAAATTGTTTGTATCTCAAGAATTCTAAAAATATATATAATTACATTTTGCTAAGAACATTACTTCAAAATGGACAATAGATAATATACAATTTTTATAGTCCTATTTTCTTTTGCAAAAGATAATTTATATTTTACCCTTCCTTTATTTTTGTACTTAACAATATGGATAAAGAATCTCAATGTTACTGTAAAAAGAAAATGCTTTAATATTTTAGTTAATATAAACACTGCCCAGCTAGCACAAAAACATCCCATCTACGTTAATAAGCTGCAATTTTAGGCTCTTTAAGCTCGCATGCAATGTACTGTAAATGTAACCCTTATATCCCTGCAACTACCGAATGTCCGCAGCGGCAAGACTTTTATAGCACATCTCACAGAAGTTACAAAGTGAAGTTCGAAAAACATCACACTAGCACTTTTACGGTACTTACCCCGAAAGTTGCTCTGAAACGTTCTATTGATGTTATAATGTGAATTAGATCTACAGCATTATACAGTGTGTCCACGGATGGGCTTAACTATACTTGTGAAAATATTTATTTTAAATTAAAAAAGTAATTCTTCATAATTTCTTGCTTGTTAAATAAATTCGATTCACATTGAGAAATTATGAAAAACAACTTTTTCTTTAATTTAAAATAAATATTTTTACAAGTATAATTAAGTCCATCCGTGGACACACACTGTGTAATGTAATACAGAGAGGCTGAAATTGAGGCTATAGTAAAATCTCAATCGAGACATGAAAATTTCAAATAAAACAAAATATTTATATAAATTTATTATTAAAATGTTCTTGAAATCAAGTACCAATAGCACAAAAGTAGAGGTAGGTGTAGGTGTGTTCTTTTATTCAGTGCTGTATCCAGCGCTTGCAGCAAACCGTTCGTAAATTAAGTGATGGAAAGACGATTGTATGTGTCAATCATTCTTTTTTCCAGCGGTGAATTCACCAATGAGCCAAGGCATCCATCGGCTTTAAAAGCCGATGGATATGTGATAGACGAATGGTGAGGATAATCAATCATTTAAGTTAACCTAAAATATAAGAGTTCAAATATAAAATGACTGCAGAATAGATAAATTACATCAATCACTGATGGAACAATTATTGAATAAAAGAACACACCTTATATCACAAACACAAGTACACATGTGGGATAGAAGAAGCTACCTAGAAAGCACTGAACGATTGGACAAAATTAGCTAAATAGTATAATAAGGTACCAATATTGCAAAGGTTCACTAAAACCTTAAATGGTGAACGATGATAAAGCTAGATTGGTGAAAAATAATAAACGAATACAACAATGACTAGGTACATATTATTATATTAGATTACTAGAGGATAGCTAAGTTCGCTGATTTCTTACCTAAGACGCAGAGATATATCTTTTTTAAATCAAGCCTTTTAACTTTTTTTGCATAGATATTTATAAAGTGCTATAATGTAACCTAAATATGACAATTTATTAGAAGAGCATAAATTATATTTTTATATAAAAAGATTTTACTTCTCAATACATTGAATAAAAAAGAAATTGATAACTTGTTTACCTATTATTAATTAAAGGAAATTATATAGAAATTAAAAAATATGCCTTACTTTGTTGTTTTAAATAAAACAACTAATGTTAGTGTATTGAAATTTGTTTGAATTTTACAAATTTTATGCTTGATTTCCAAAGTAGATATATTGATGGCTCAATCAAAAACCGCCACAAGTCAAAAAACAAAGCAATTACATTTTTGGTTCAATGGATGCAAAATATCATTACGGTTTTACTTTAAATACCATCACAAACAAAAATATCCTTAAAGATAAATCATTTAAAATGTAGCCACAAACTGTGTCTAAAACTGCCTCAATTCGAGTTATTTTCTTCAAAAACACCCAAATTTTTTACAACTATGCAACAACTCACTTTTATAATCGTAATCATTTTATTTAACAGCAAAATATCGAAGCTTTTAAATAAAATATAAAGAGTATGTCAAAAACAAAATAATGATAATAGAGACTTACAAAATTTCAAAATAAAATTTCTCGAAATAATAGTATTTTAGTTGTGGCAGTATTTGATTGAGCCATCGATATGTAGATTTTATAAAAAACAACTGGTGTTTTTTAGCAAGATATTCTATTATACTTGAGAGTATCATCTATGATTTCTTTCAACTTTTCTGCTGGGTTTTCACTTGAAATGATGGTTGCATTTCCAGGCAATCTAGCCTGTTGAAGAAAATGAACTGCTTGAATTCTGATATACCTGACATATCATGTACCTATAGATTCACTTTTTATAAAACTTCAGGTGTTATATTCTTCTTTACACTTCTGTAGTATTTACTTTTGCTTCTAAAATTCCTAGAATGTCGAAGGAAACCTAAAAAATAATATTTTTAAAATGTATTTTTAGTTCGATAAAGTATAATTACCTTTTATAAGTATTTGGTGTAAAATGTTGCCGGACATTCGGTTAAATGTTTATCTTCTGGTTTACAACGATTGATCTGCAATTCTTTGTATTTATTGTAGTTTTTTTTTATTTGGTGTCATCGGCATCGACTGCTAAAGATACTTAATGAATGAAATAATAAATTTACATCAGGCATTGTAATCTGAAACAAAGACAATGGTTTAGAAAATATTTATCTATTTTATAGAGGACCCTTACCAAATCTATTCGAATGTATAAATAATAATTATTTATAAAATAAATTCTGGATGTCGAAAAATAAACCATTAAAAAAGACAATTGACAAGAAAAACTGACAAGTGACAATTGACATAAAACTAAACGTTCTGAATTCAGATTTGTAATGTTTACGGTAGGTTAACTAGGTAAATAACAAATAGAAGTTTTGCGAGGTTTTGATTTCCCTCAACAACTTCTCATGAACGTTGCATTTACGTTGTATAGTAATGTTATTACGTTCCCTTAATGCAACATCGCCGAAAGGCTTGGCAACGTTATGTGCTAGCTGGGTGTTGCTTGAAATTGATTTTTTCTATTTAATTCCTGAGTTATAATTTTAAATGCAGTTTGGAGTTTAGGAAGTGATGTGGCATTAATGTTTAAATATTAACTCTAGAATCTTCCCTTACTCTTTATGGATATATTGATATATAAAGTGAGACTTGCAAACAATTTCTCCTGATTTTATTATTATTACAAATAAATTAGGACTGAGGAATGAATCCTATTAAGCCCAAAATTACAAGTTTAATAAAGACAATTATTAAATAACTAATTAGCAAATAACAGAATGCAAACAAAGCACTAAAAATAAACTTTTAGTTTTCGTTAAAAAAGTCATCGAGTCGGGTTTTAAATACATTTACTGACTGTGCGCGAACAACACTCAAGGGTAAATTATTCCAAGTATAGAAAACTCTGTTACAAAAAAGTTTTGTCGGGTACGTGTTTTAAAATTTTCTTTGCTCAATTTATACTCATGTCCACGTAGGCGCTCATCTGTATTCCGTGGGAGTATACTATAGAGGTTGGATAAAAAAGTACCATGAAGAATTCTGTAAGTCACAATTAAATCACCTCTTAATCTTCTGTGGGAAAATGAACACAAACTCTCCATATTAAGCCGTTCTTCATAGGATGGTCTGATTCTGCCGAAAGGTATTCGAGTAGCGTAGCGTTGAACATTTTCCAGTCTTTTTTGATCAGAAACCAGATCAGGACACCACGCAGGTCCGACATCTCATTCCAGTTGTAGTTGACCTAAAGTCTATTTGAAGGCATACCTATAAACTGTGGATGTAATGCATATGCATGTTTAATCATTTAAATTCCAGTCAATAGTCTATCGCATTTTTACTTTCATATATGTATACAGAGAAGGAAAGTATAGGAATCATAATTTTTAAGACCCTAAATTTTCGACGGATTTTACATTTTGTGGTCCCCTGAATCCTTTCTGACTATTTTCGTAATGTTGTGTATGTGTCTGTATCCATGGTAACTTAAAAAGGGATAAAGAGAAAAACATTAAATTTTAAACTTAAGCTTTAATCCATCCTCTAGGGCCATTCGCACCACTAGTAGTTAAGAAATAAGCGAAGCAAAAAATGAAATTCTTCATAAAAATCAGAATTTTGCACATTTTGTCAAATTTCTCGAACACGGTCCATTTCAGGAAACCCAGACAGCACACTATATTCCTGGCATATGCCACCAATCTGCCTATTTGCCAAAATATATTGCAATATTTATGGAATATTCACAGAATATATTTCATATTCTATATTCTAGAAAGATATTCCAGGCATATGTATTTTTGATATGCTCTGCATATTCATTTTTCATATTGTATAGATATCTCTGTAGAATATTATATTATATTTAACTATTTTGTTTTATTATTTATTAGTACAAATGAAGATATAGTCTACAGAATCATCCTTTGTTTAGTTTATAAAGACTTAAACAAAAACGTGAACTTAGAACTCCGGAATGTAACTTTAAATCATGCAAACTTATTTTCAATTAATAAAAAAAATCAAACCTCCGAGATCAAATTATCTTTATCTTCATAGATAAAATAAGTATGTATAGTTTTCCTATAATGTAGACAAGAAAAGGACAAAAGAATGATTCTAAAAGTCAAAAGTATGCGCCTAGTAAGTATTGGTAGTTGGTAGTAAAAATTACCTAATAGTGTCTTATTGGATGCACTCATAATCTAGCCTATCGTCGAACGTAAGTTTTTGTTACACGAGAAGTTAGATTGTGAGGAATATATTTTTATTCATGATACCTTGGTCAAATACTCTAAACGATGAAGGCCACTAATAAAAAAAAAGAAGAATAAGACACATAACCAAACATTGTCAGATTTGCTGACGTGATTATCCTTCCTCCATGGACGTGATGTAGTTTTAGTTTTTTCTCACGATATACCCACCTAAGGGGTAAGTCTGATTAATTATGGCCCTTCTGTAGTATCAGTGTAGTGCTTAAAATCATAAATATTTTATAAGAAGTGTAAATCAATTGGTAGACGAATCTTTTGTTCTCAAATAATGATAGAGCATTAGCTTCAGATGAATG